AGAGTATAAAAATCAGAGAAGTGGCCAGTGTATAAATAATTTTTTCTAGAGCAGGGTTCTCTACCCAGGATTCTATAATAGAAATTGAAAATCGGAAGTGACGTTGTAAGATATTGGTTTAATCAGTTAGTGTATGTTGGACTACAATCGTGATAAAGTTTCCGCATGAAAAATAGCTAGTCTGGGATGGGGTAGTGGTTTTGGCGCCTAGTCTAGAATAGAGTTGCAAAATCAAGCTGATCATGGTCTAGTATAGGGCAAGGCTCTCAGTGTCCCAGCGGCACACCCCACCAAAAGATTTACAGAGTACCACCCCCGCGAAGTTTACCAAGCGAATTAGCTAAAGGAACAAGACCGGATGTTATAAGTATGGCTCAGAGTGGAGAAATACCTTCATTGTGCAGCGATATCAGCTCGCTAAGCAAGACAGTCAGGTTTTCTCAAGCAGGTTTTCTGTTTTCTTTAGGTATTGGGATGTTAGGTCAAATCACCATAAATATGATCACTGCATATATAAAAACCAACAGAAGGTCAATTGAGAGTAAAACTATTGAGTGAGCAGTATTATTAACTATTACAAGGAGTAATAGGCTAACATTAAAACAATGTTAAGTCAATTAACGACGTACAGAACTTTCTAAATGTGTTGTGACCTTAACGAATCGTTTATTGGGTGGTAAATTTGCACCACTCCGTATCTGAGTTTTTTTACTAAGTTTGACCATTTTTGAGAAACATGTTACAGAATCTAAATTTAAAACAGTCTGGGTCATTTTCTAGACAAACATATGCTATCTTAACATGGTGTCAGTCTGTCCTCGCCATACTACCATCAAAGGATATACTATGTGGATTTCTTGTCTAGTGATTTTAAAAATAAAACTATGGATAAAAGAAAAAGTTGTTAAACTATCTTAGGGTGCTTTTCAATTGAGTGTGGAAGGTAATCAGGCAATTACTTTGGTTTGGTTTTGGTTTTACTGCGGTTTGAAGTTGGCCGAGTAGTCTAATTGGTAAGTAATTGGTTTGGTTTTGGTTTTACGACACTCAGCTGAAAACCGCTCTAAAGGGCAATTTAAACGTGTTAGTGAAGTCCGAGGTTCCTAATTTTACATGTTCACTAAGCTCTGAAATTAAGGTTTTTGTCCCAGTGAATCAATCTTACTACGTTCTTGTGCTGCTATATAAACTGAACAAAAGTTTGATTTGCCAATACAGGCTGTACCTAACCTTAAAAATTAAAGGGCAAATTTCACTCTTACCTGTCAAAAGTTTGTAGTTACGTCCTTGTTAGACAAAAATAACCTCGGCTTATCGAAGATTATTATAACTATCGCAACCTTTACAAACACAGAATCGTTACACCGGCTCGCGACAATGATATGAAAAACAACTTTGACTTTATATGACGTTACAAAAGGAAAATCTATTTTCATTTTTTTGCTAATATTTTATTTTCAAACAGGGGCTATACTGACAACAACAGAAGAAGTAATATCACTTTCAATTGAACCTAATATATAATGTTTTAAGCAATATTTAGCTGTCAGTGTGACATATTACATATGAATGTGAGTTTTACGTATTAAGATGGCTGTCGCCGATCAATGGCTGGAGTTGCTTCCATTTTCTTTAGTTTCCTGTCCCTGTACCACATCTCTTGCACAGCTAATTCTTGCACAGTTTGAGAGACCCCTTGAGAACGAATTCAACTGTACCAAGTACAGAACAATATTTAGTCAGGGTCGAATTTGAAAGTTTCCATGAATCCATGTTTCGAACGCAAAGCAGCGATCATCTAGAATCAAAGCTAGAATACCTTTTGATATTCAGTCGTTATAAACAAGAAAAGAGGTCACTTTTTGAAAATTCAGAGAGTACATGCAGGTCTTAATTGGCTCTGACATTTTATCTTCCATTCATTAGGACAGTTGACAATCTAGGCTAGATTAAAAACGCTTTGTGGATTAAAATTTCTTCTACCCTATTGGGTAGGAAATACTAGTACTTATGTTTGTTGTTGTTGTTGTTGTTTTTTTTACGTACAATTGCCACATCCCTCGTTCTTTCGCAACGATCACCGAATGGTACCACCTTTCTGAGATCACGGCAGAGTTGACCTCATTTAACGATAAAAATAATAAAATGTCAACCTCTTTAAAATTATGTTCATATTTACTTGAATAAAAAAGGTTTGTTTAAGTTTGATGGTTCAAACTTTGAAGTCTTGTCGACGCTTTTCATTAAGTCCCTCTCATTCAAGTGATCGGTATGTCTTCCTTGGACGTGAACATCAGTTCACGACTAATATTCTTGGACTCTGACCATCACGTGATTAATGAATTTTCTCTGAAGTTCATTTGCCAGATGAACGTTCTTTCAAAACCACCAGTCCTTGCTAACTTTGGCCATTGTTTTAATTTACACTTCATTAGATAGTACTGTTATCTTATGTAGGCAAAAAACATGAAGGACATTATAAACTAAACAGGAAGAAGGATACAGGAAATTGTGGAGACGTTTGGAGGAGAATTGGGGATTTCCCTTGGAAAAAGACAAATTTAGGTTCTCTTAGATGCCATTTCCTGCTGTTTGGGAACTCTTGGAACGAAATTAATATAATTTCAATGAAAGATTTAATTTGCGTTTGGCGATATATTGAGGGAACATATATACATGACGTTCGAATTTCTTTTGACGTCAAAGCCGCCATGTTGGTGTTTGCAAACATGCAAATTTCTCTCTTTGGGGAACGAGTTCTATTCTTATACCAAGATTTTCTATCGGTTGGAAAACCGATTATGACTGCTGCAACTGCAGTAAAAATGCTCAATTTCGGGCCTCAGTGCGTAAGGGACCCTTGATTTGAATTTTAATATTTACTCGCCAGTTACAAAAAGCATTTCTAATCATTTCACTGCCGCTGTTTGTCCGCCGATTTAGCACGAAAGTCACGAAAGAAAAATATATTCTAGAAAAGTCGAAAAATAGTACTGTATGACATAAATAGCTAGAGCTATGATTTTTCTTTATACCTTTTACGGCAATGCCTATAAATAATGCGCAAATGTCATATCAGATATTTTGTAAGAACACGAGAAGTCCCTCTTGACTTGTGGCGTAGTCAATATTTGTTGTTCCATTAGTTTAACTAATAATACAAGAAACTGGTTTATTTATTGCAAAGTAGGTATACTGAAAAGCAAATTAAGGTGTTTAGTTGTGTCGTTCTCAGTGTCTGTTTAATGAGCTAAAGGAAATCAAAACCTGACTAGAAAAGGTAAGTGAAACTTGTTACTGTAAATATCCGTCCTCAACAAGACAGCTGCCGAGTGGCACGAAATGTTTGCGGGAGTTTGATTTTGCGGATCGGCGAAAGACTTGTTCTTTTTGCTAGGTATTGATTTTTGGGATTTTCATGTTTTAATTGGAATTAAAATATTTCTTTTCCTTTTTTTATATAAAACTATGTGCAATGACAATTAAGTCAAAGAAAATGTAGAGAATCAGTGTCACTCTGTCGCAATTACATGATCTCGTCCTGGTGATGCTGATTGCTCCAGCGATAGATCAGCAAAAACTACGGCACCATCTGATGCATTATCCCTCGATATGCCACTGGCATTTTTTTTCCACACCGGTATTTAGCCAGTAAGATTCTACATGTGATGTTCGTACGTATAATTTCGCGGATGGAGCGAATTTTTGCGGGAACTTTTATTGACACGAACTTCTTTTGCGGATCGTGAAAATACCGCAAAAATCGAAAAAATTAGTAACCGCAAAAATTTTATACCCCACGGTATGAATGGTCACTTGTCACTTGTATTTTCACGGTAAACGCACGAACCCTTAGGCGAGTAGGATATTCCATGGTATATAAAGAGAGATCGTTACCCTTACCCCGGCAGTGGAACGTAGCCGGCCAAAAGGATTGTGAGGTCTGGGAACAAGACTGAAAAACAACAATTTGTAGCCTTTCCAGTTTTGATGACGTCAGGTGTCATATTGGCGCCATTTCCAAAATCATTAACTCAGCTATGCACGTGCTCAAGAGGTAACCGTGTGTAATATAATAAAATTTCATGGTTAGTCTGAGATAACAGTAGTATATTAACTGTTCAATGATCGTTCCAAACTGATATACATCGTTGGGAGGGAATTTATGAATATTTGAGAGTTCAGATCAATAGGTTGTGTTGTACTGAGGGTTTACAACCATGTCTGTAGAAAATCAAAGAGTAACGACGTGACGCAAGTATATATTGCTAGCTGGAACTAGACAAACAAGTTACTGGACAGTTATGACGTCATCCACTAAAAATATCCATTTAAACATCTCAGTTTGGCGCCAATTTCTAGAAGCTAATTTCAGCACGGTTGCATTTATAATTGGCAGATCGGTTTAAATGCCTTGAAAGATTTCTAGGAGATCTCTAATTTGTCACAAATTATGGAACGTTTATGGATGTTTCAGGGAATAAATTTGTTATTAATTTCCTTCAAGTTTAACAAGGTTTGTCTGGTTTCTGGGCTTACCCATTTTTTTCCATTTTCGTTCTGTCACGATTGTAATTTATGTGGGATGGAGAAGTTGATCAGGGTTCTAATTTGAAGATATCCTTGAACTATGAGGTTTAAGACACTGAAGAGGTAACAATCAAAAACAAAATTGAAGAAATGTTGAATTAAAAACGACGACCCAAGTTTTTTGTTATTTTCCAAGGTGTGCCATGCGTAACTCTCTCAAAGTTTGGCTGAATTGCCGCTGGTCATATTTGCTATTTTGATGGAGTCCCCTCTTATTGGTTTAAGGAGTAATTGAACCTTTTAACTTTTCTGAAAAACTACATTTTCATCACGCACTGCAGTTTCAACAAAACTCTTTGACTTCATCATGTCGAAGGAAACTCTGAATTCACCCCTTTCCTACATTTCCCCTTTCTCGTAACTGCCCTTTATAAATTTTATTCAGTNTTTTTTTTTTTTTGGTATATTAATTTTTGCACTAAGCGAAGCAACAAGGTTAAAATCACTTCAAACCGCTTAAAATTACTATATTGGCCAAGCTTTGAGCTTTGAATTTATTATATTGTTCATTTCAAGTATCATTTCTACTCCATAGGGTAATTCTTCTTAAAACACGAAAAGAAATTTCCTTGCTATTAACTAACATTGAACATTTCGGGGGAGGTATTTCAATACTCTCTTCAAGTCTCTGAAACAAACAGTAGATTTGCAAATTAGTGAAGGCATTTATGAATAATGCTTGGGTAAAAGGACTTCAAATAGATATTGATTTAATTTTCTAATAGGGAATCAGATATTTACAGCCTCTTTGTAGTTTATGTCTAATGCGAATTTGCGTATAACCCAAAATATTAAGCACAGACGCAAAATTCTTCTCAAACTTCCTGCACTTTCCTACAGTCTCACTTCAGCTTGGTAATCTTATCACCTTAATTAACCACTTAAGGAATTTGCTCAGGGTAGAATTTAAAAGTTTTCACTTCAAATGCCTGCCTCGGGGGTGAAATCAGCTATTCTGGCACGTAAACACATATTGTTTAACTATTCTGTTTCGGCTTCAGAGCAGTGATTATCGCTGTAAAATTCTAAAGTCGTTTATATTTTTGTTAATTTATAGATTGCTTTGACGTTTTTCACAAATGTGAGGTTGTTCGGACCTTTAACTGTTTAGTGTAGTAGATTCTCTTACTTTTTTCAGTTTTTTCCTGATTATTATTGCTTCGATGTATTCCTGAAGCAGATGCCGTTTACTTTTTTGGTGTCGCAATATTCGGAAGCAAAACTCTTTGTTATGTGAATTCTGTTTACGTGATAGTTTAGTTGCTTTCTGTCATGTTGTTTGCATTTAAACCTTTCAATTATAGCGCAGTGTTATGGTGCGAGTACTCTAAATGTGCAAATTTTCGCTGCGAGTGGAGTGATAAGTAACCAGTTTTAATTAAGCAGAATATAGCGGAACGTAAATAACCGAATTCTATAATTCATAAACATAAGTTGCTTTCACATCTACCGAGGGCAACTGGGCAACACTGTTTACAGCAGCAAAAACATTCAAAAAACGTCAGGATAAGGAAAACGAGGCCGACAAATGCTTTATACATGTAGTTTTCATCCAGATTTCGGAAAATTGCATGGTAAAACGCATCCACTCGGCGCTCATTTTTGGGTGTATAGTGTTTAATCAACATACCTCGCCATTAATTTGAGAACAGAATTCGATTTAACTCAATTTAACTCCACCGCGCGTTTATGTAGTCTTTTGGCATTCTGGTATATGGGAAGCGAAGTCCCAAAATACCATAATGTTAAAAAGACTACATAAAAGCATGGGTTACCGAGTCGTGAGGCTACAGCTCCAGCCAGGCCTGGTCAGGGTCGCCATTTTGTATTCTTGGGCAAAACAATTTACTATCACGAATTCTGGCTGAAGAAAAATAAAAAAAAAAAATAAAAGGTTACAATGAAGTCTAATATAGAATAACATCATCTACTAGCACTTAAACTTTGACTAGAATCTATGTTAGGGTAAAAAGACTAAGGCTGAGTAATCAAGGCGTCATGCTTTATGTAGTTTCTCAGTAGTAGTACTTGTTCATCCTTGTGATGTAACAGAACTACAAGGCAGGGAATTTTAATGAGAAGGCTTATCCAGAGTTGTGATAATGCTGAGGAAAAATTTCGAATCATCCGGCCGGAAAAAGATAGTTATCTTTCATAAAGTTCCAAAGAAATTAAACAATATTCATGATAAACTGTCGTCGTTTGACTTGATAAGGAACGTAATATGTTCAAGATGTACTTGAATATGTTATCCTTGACTGTTGCTGTATGATAAAAAGGTTTGGAGGTCAGTGCTATTAATTAAAGATACAATGTGTTTAACGCTGGCTCTATCAGAACTCTTTTGAATTTTCTTAGCCTGATGATATGGAGTTGTTTGTAATCTGTCCACAGCCATTTTGTTTTTGCTCATTAGTAAAATGTGAGCAAGCGACAAATAACCCTCCATTCAATAAAAATAACCCTCCATTCAATTCCCGGTGGGATCCTCAACGATGGGTGGGAGGCGCTGTGGCCTCATGGTCAGTGCGCTCGTCTCCGGATGGAGCGGTCCGGGTTCGAGCTCTGGCCGGGGACATTGTGTTGTGTTCTTGGGCAAGACACTTTACTCTCACAGTGCCTCTCTCTACTCAGGTGTGTACCGGCCAACTTAACGCTGGGGGTAACCCCGCGATGGACTAGCATTCCATCCAGGGGGGAGTGGATATATTCTTAGTCGCTTCATGCTACGGAAACCGGGATAAGCTCCGGTCTGATGGGCCAGTTGACTCGTATGTAGACTTTACCCTTACCATCCTCGACGATGTAAAACAAACAAGAAGGTCTGCGAACAAATCAAATTGGATGCACGTAGGAATATTCGTGGGATATGTGCTCTGCGTGATGTCGGCGTCTTGAAATAGACACGGGTATTAAGTGGTTTGACGTTAGTCACTTTAGTTTTGGACGTACATTTGGTTTGTATGCAAACCAACATTTGGCTCTACTGTATATTACTGATAACACCAATGACGAATTGTTTTGCTTTTACTTAGGTTACGTTATTGCGTTGGATTCTACTGTCTTATTGCTAAAATGAAGGTATGTATTAATTAATGAACCTCAAACTGTATATAGGCCAGTGACGTTCATGGGCTTGGCATGAGCTAACAAATTTACATGGTTGTCTTCATCTTTCTCAAATTAAACCCTGTTCATAGCATATAGTCTTTTTCAAACCGACTGTTATAAGACTAACCTCAAAGGCGTGTCATTTTGCCCAGCACAACAAAAGTTCATATATTCTGAGCCAATCATAACTCAAACGAAAGACATACAACACCGCATCAAGAGAAAGAAAAAGAAGGTGATTTGTTCATTAAAAACAAAATAAAAAATCGATTGTAAAGCACTCTGACACGCAAATAAATCAATGGTGGAGGTGACGAATGGACGATAACGTTAACGTTTTAGTGGGAGATTGACAAAACATGTAGAACAAGTATCGGTTTTGAGGGATCTTTCGACAGAGAAGGGGTTAAAGATTCTCCAAGAATAAAATAGCTTGTGCCGCGAGGATACGTCATGGCACCTCATAGTATCCTCGCAGATCATGTCATTCTGAAGAGAAAGAGATTTTCTTAATTTTTAGAATATAGCTGCTCTATACCCGCATTTGGAGCTGAGCGTGAATTATGTTTTATAGATATACACGGCTAGAAATTATAGAGTGCGTACGTCCCGGATGCTGCATGTGTTGTCAGTGCAATCTCAGATGTAATTATTTTAGCTTTTTCATGGTAAAACCAAATAGACCATGGTGATCCTATGTTTTCTAAATGAGAAAATAATGCACTCATGTTTTGAGGTCTAGACCTCGGCTGCCGAACGCAGATTTCCTAGACCTCATTCGTGTATTATTTCTTAGAGAATATGAAACGCCGTCTTCTATTTAGTACATAGAAGTTACTTTATATTTATGAACAAGATTAAAGTACTGTTGTAATGTGTCACTTGGTTTAACATCTAAGTTACTTATATATCACGGTATTACTTTTCTTTAAACAGACGTTGATCACATTATCCGTCATTTCTGTCTCCATCTGCTTCATAACACTAAAATGTTCATCTTCTTCGCTTGTCGATCCTGACGAGGAGTACTGGCGCGATCCACTACCCTGGCCAAGGGCTCATAGGATGCCAATCTCCCGGCGTCCTGTGCGGCATTGGCCTTGGCGAAGGAAGTTCGTGAAGCCAAAAACAACGTCTGTACCGGCAACATGGGCTGCAATACCTGGTCCTGACTTTTGCCGGAACCACACCAAAGTATCTCGAGTCCAAGACGAGCCAGGTCCTATTGTATGCTTGCGTAGGAATGTCACAGAGCTAATGGAGCAGCTGAGGACCGTAGGGGGCCTTATTAAGCGGTACATGGCTGTTACAGTGATCGACGCATGCGGGTTTGAGGATTTGACCACTATCACATCACCAACAACGACAACAGCAGCAGGAACCACACCGACTTCGAGGACGCCACATACACATAACATTGTAAGGCGTCCAGCTGATGAACGAGATTCCGAAACTGGAGCCCAGCGTCGCAAAAGGAACATTCCCACGTCACCAGGCACCATTTTTCGCGGGTGTCAGGGGCGAGGTACAATACCGGACGGTGCTACTACACATAGATTATGCACCGAGTGTGCGGCTACAACTCGACTGGAGAGCGATCGATTTCCGACTTTCATCAACGAAATTGTTTGCCGCGATGCTGACCAGCAGTGCGCTGCCAACATGGGATTGTGCATCCAGCGAAACCTACAGCTGCCATTCTTGAGATCAACCGGTGATTTCCAGTTTGACGCTTCTTTGAGCAGTTTGACAGGGAAGACTGTGTACAAGGAAGTTTGGATTGAATATACTCAAGAGATAAGGTCGTGTTGCGAATGTCAAATGTACACATTTCTCTATAGCGAGATTTCATCAAGAGATGATGACTGAAAAATTAAAGGACTCAGTAACGGGATTTTGAGATATTTTGGCCGCGTACAAAATTACTGTTAAGTTGAAGGAAACCTAAAAATAGTAGTTTACTAAGATATAAAAACATCGGAGATAACGATACGCCATAAAGGAACAAGGATGGTTGAGGATGGAGAAGATTAACACGGATTACAAACGACGAACTTAAGACATTTAGCCTAAGCTTTTAATTTCAAGATGAGCGACGTAACTCCTTTTACCATAGTACGTAATCTGTCTGCAGGCAATAGATTTCAATAGATTGCCGGCTTAAGAGCTTAAAACTCACAGTATTTTGGTTACTTTGTAATTCTTCTGACGTGGATGAGATAACTAAACTTTATTGCATTTTCCATCAAATGACTTTCTAAGCTGACTTATGTCCAAACTGGGAGTGAGACAGAATTGCTATCAAAAGATTTCAACCGCTCTATCTTAAAATTATTATAATACTGGTAGGTTCCTTAGTTACTTTATTTTCCCCACTATACTCAACTATTGCGTCAAATGGGGTCCAATACATAACGTAATGGATTAACCGCAAAGGGAAGTTTATTTGACTGAAAAGGAAAAAGTCGAACACATTTAATGGAAGATGGCGTTTTTGTAGAATACGTCACAAACTCAGTGCATGCCTGCTGCTTGTGTGACTGAAGTTGATCTTCTAAATGGGAATTCTTTTCAACAGTTTGAGTATCAATACATCTTACGCGTTTGACATTACCCAAAGAACTTGAAAATCATTCGAGAGTGGGTAGATACGAGTAATTTTCTCATGCACTCATCAAGCATATTTGGTCAAGTTTCATTGACCGCATACTTAGCAAGTTCAATTCGGTATAACTTCTTTACCCTGAATCCGTGGTTTTAGTGATGTATGTTTCCAATTCTGTACTCAGACGAAATCGGGGGCTATGGCAAAAAGTGAAGTATTTAGACGAATGATACATCGATTCTCCGCTATTTACTTTATTTCACATCTAGATATTTACAACAGTGCGTAGTTTCGTCTTTGGAACTGCCTCCCCTTCAGCACACGTGTTGAACATGTGCTCTGGCTAGATTCCGTAATCCGTTATTTGGTTGCTATGAAACGTAGTGTCTGTATTTCATAATGATTCGTAGATATAAAAATTCAAGTACAGAAGCTATGACTAAAAGAACACCCCAGCCATTTTCAATCCACATAGACGTCGATAAAACTAGCAAAAAAACCCTTTTATTTTCGAGAGCTTCTGTGAAGTAATATTACTATGAGAACGTAAGATTGATTGTAACTAATTGAGGACTCAGGAGCGCACACCTAGAAGGAAGCGATTCTTATATCAGAATTATTCATGCATTGTTCCTTTCAAGGTTATCGGAATCGATGACATCAGTATCGAAAGCGGAACATTCAACGTGATGAACTCTTCTAATCCTGTACCACACCCGGGCGGAGTAAAATAAACCTCCTGTGTCAATATTCCGAGGGTTACTAAATTTTTACCAAACTCGAGTCGTCGGAGTTAAAAAACTAATAAATAAAATTGAGGGTTTAAACATGCCTTTTGGAATTATCTAATTTGTTTAATTAAATCCTTTAATTACTGGATGTTTCTTTTGTCTAGACCACGGGCATTAGTGTGATTGTTAAAGTCCAGAAGCACTTAAGCAGGAAACGGAAAAATCCGAGTGCATTTTCATGCAAAATAGATCTCTTGTTTCAAAACCACAGTTGATCGCAATCAAATATTTAAACTGATCAACAGCAAAATCTGCTTTTTCCGCTCTGGGTATTTAAATAAAGTGCTGATCCTAAAGAAAATCAGAACTGCCTGCAGGATTGTAGAAGAGGGCAAGGAAGAGAAGATATTTCACTCTTCCTCACAGAGGTAAGTCAGCTTTACTGCAGAATGGTCTTGTAACATATTTTGGGCTAAATTCTTTATCGTTGCTAAGTTGAGGGCAACTTGCCCAGATGAAGGTAGGCCTTTCCCTAGGCTAGATCTCATTTGAAACTATTTCATTCCAGTTGTTACAACTTGCAAAATTTACTTCCGAAAATGTCCCAAGGTGGCAGATCGAATAATCTGTAAAAACGATACACTTAGTTCGTTCATGAATCTAGATTCAAAGAACATTTGTAACAAAATGATGATGTAGAAAACTCGATGAAAATGTTAATTTGAGGGCAGTAAAACAAATTACGTATTTGATTGTAAACGGAAATTTTGTGGTATTTTTAAAAGCAATACCTAGCCAAGAGTAGTCCTATAAGTAATATTCTGGTTTGTGGCTAACTGCGCACGTAAAATGAAAAAAAGGCATTTTTTAACGACACACTGAACCAAGCTTTTGATAAACTTTCTTTTTTGTAACAAGACAGTAAAAAACCAGTCGGGAAAGTTGTACATATATTGAGTCATTAAGATAGAGATAAATCAAAAATCTCAGAAAATCTATTTTCGTTCTCAGCGTAGTGGTTCTCTTTGTTTAAAAGCAAATTATTCGCCCCCTGAAACTATTTTCTTCAAAACGGCTGTGCTGCGTTGGCAAAGTCCTTAGTTTACCATAAACATGAAATAACGTTATTTATTAACAACGTGATACAGATTATGTGAATCAATTATCATTGTTAATTTTAGCAGTGGTTGTTCAGATAAGGCGTAGTGTTCAAAGCATAGCAGAGACAAACACTGTAGGTTCGTATTCCGAAAAAGACAAAGTTAATGGGAATTGTTACGTATGATAAAAAGTCAAGCATCCATCCCACCAGCAGGACTTGTGAACAATAGAGTCACTCCGACTATGACATGTGGGCGAGACAGACTGTCGCGATGTTTAAAGAGCTTGCAGAGCCACTTTTCGTTTAACAATCAATATAAATAAATATTTGCTAGTGCTCGCACAAATCTTGAAAAGATAATGAAGACGTGGGAAGCTTTTGGGTGTTAATTAAAAGTACCTGTCATAGCTGATTTATGCACGTTAATTTCTCCTGTTGTTCAGTTCAGAGCGAATGCGGTTTCAAATGAACGCTGACAAATTCTATTCATTATAGCTGTCAGCTGAAAAAAGGGGCTTTTTCAACTCATAGCCTAGAAATCTAAAAAAAGACATTCTGCTCACATAGATCATGAAATATTGACTAAATGTGTTCACTGGTAGTTGAGAGAATGGGCAGAATTTTGACTGGCAGCCAAAGTTGCTTGCAGTCATTTAAATGATATTGTTCACGGCAAAATAGGAAAGGAATAGTGAGAAGAGTAATCAGGCGCTTCGTTGTTACATGGAGTAGGATCAGGCAAACCTCTTCTATCACAAAAGTCGATAGTAACTTCGTATTATTTACTATGTATTAAATTTCTTGACCGACTTGAAATTGAGACAAAGTGTGAAAACAGGGTCTTAAAATATACAAGTATACGACAACTTTTACTTTTAATTCATTTTTCGATAGCTTGCCTAACGGGGTCTACGGTAACTGTCTAGGATATATTTTATAATTTTCTTGCTTATCGGATTAACTTGGTTGACAATAAATAAACGCCTTTTCAGATCCAGAATTTGACACAAACTACACCAGCTAGTCTGAGGAACAACGAAATCATGGAGTTGGCAATGAAGGTGAAATTTCATTCATTATAGTACATTATGAATAGGACACAGCATTTACCATGGCTAAATTACAACAAAGCTTTGGCGAAAATCTTATCACAATGTGCTATTTTGATTCTTTTGGCTTTGAATGACAGAGCTTGGCTGCGAAAGAAAGCCCTATGTGAAAAAAGATGATACTTTTAAGCACACATTTGATCAGGTTTAATCATAGACCAGTAATTTCGGAATCGATAATTCTGGTAGGGTAAAATGTTGAAATCAGATTTAGTCTCCCTCATTTCTTAACTTTTATTTTATTCATTCTCGTTTTCAGATTCTCCCGTTTATTTTTCTTTTTGTTACGTTCCCGCCGTCGTCCGGGAGAAGATGGTTGCCAGCAAAACCTTTAAGAGGTACAAGGAAACCCTACCCGCAGCCTACGACTTCAGGCTCCGTCATGATTAATAAGAAAGAATGCGATAGTATTGTGAACGACCTTTCGCAGTCTCCCAATGTCCTCCAGCTTTGCGTTCGTCTCAACGAAACCGAGTTGATAAACAAGCTTAAAATTATGGGTAGTTTCAATCCACGATATATGGCTATCAATGGAAAAGATGCATGCAGATTTCAGGACCTTTCCGTAGACGAACAACCTTTACCACGACGACCCTCGCCCCAACCAAAAGCCAAACAAGATCAGTCCTTTGAAAGCGAAACAGACATGGATATGAGTGCTTATGGCTTGAATGACATACAGGATGACGCTGGACAGCTTGAGCTTGAGAACGAGAGGAGACAAAAACGAATGATCAGTCTCAGCCCAGGTTCCATCCTGCGCGGATGCTGGAGTCGAGGCTCTCCGTTGGACGACTCTTCACTGTCGCGGCTTTGTACCGAATGCTCGGCAACCACTAAGCTGCCACCCGCTATTTTCCCGCCATTTATCAACGAGGTGATATGCGGCGAAGATGATGATAATTGTTTCGGTCCCATAGGAAAGTGCGCGCAGAAAGTGATAAAATTCACGTTTCTTCGAAGCACCGGAAATTTCAAACGAGACGACGCTCTCAGTGAACTTCATAACACTGATATTTTCGTTGAGGAGTGGGAGGATTACGAACAAGATATCAGATCTTGCTGTGAATGCCGCATATTTACGTTTCTTACAAAAAAGTCGTCGATCTCATGTTGAAGCTGTTTGTCTTATCACATAGCGAAGTTTTTTTCAACTATAGTGCACTGCTTTTGTATCCCATCCTTCAAATTAGGAGGTCTCAATGCAGACGAAAGTTCAGACTCGATTTCACATTTTAAACATTTTTTTTTCAGACCAAATCTCAATATTTTATTTATTTTATGACTAAGTAGTAATTGCTCGCTTTTTGAGCCTGAAATTTCTAACTGCAGACTTTGAACACTGAAGTAATTTGTCGTCGAACAGATAAACTTTTTGAATTGTCAAATTGTAATAGTGTTTAGACAAGCTCAGAACAAAATTATCAATAGTTCTTCACTATTTGACTTAAGAATTAGGAACGCCCATAAAGGCTGAGTAAAAGAATTGAATTTTGGGGTTTAACTGCGAATAAACTGTAAACATTTAACTCTTCAGTTTTGATGTTGACGTTGAAATTAGCTGAAAAATCGTGATGATTGAGCCCCCATCCCCGCCCTACTTAAAGAAGCTCAGTTGAACTTTTCATATGGTGCCAAGCTAATTTATATATTGTCCACTTGAATTTGATAAAGATGGATTCGACACCGTAGCAAATTTGGAAAGCTGACGCTTTGACCGAGGCACAAAGTTCTTATGGAGAGACTTCGATCTGAGGTTCAAACCCTTTCTCTTTTATATGCCATTTTTCTCATTATTCTTCATAGAAAATGAAGAAAATATTACCCACTACATTGAGAAATCTTTGAATCTAAGTGAAATCATCATTAAGTACGAAGTGGACTACTAAGGATGACGATAAGTGAACCAGCGACACATTCGTAGTTTTTTATCGATTTAAGGCCAAAAAATACACCCAGTTCATAGAACGAGGGAGGTTTTAAGGATTTTTCGAGGAATACGCGAACATACATGACTGGGGAAACGTTAATATGCGTGCCTGGCTTCACACGAGTCTTTCATCCAAGAGAAGCGCTGGGTTGAACAAACTCTCTGGAAAGAGGTATACTAGAGAGCGATTTCCGCTTGAGTGCGGAAAGCAATTCGTGTTTCCTTTTATTTGCACTACGACGTCCAGCGATCGGCTTAAAGAACTCGCATGACTTTGCTATCCAATCAGAAGTAAACCCAAAACCAAACCCGACGCTCGCACAAGTTTTCCCGCCCATCGCGTCAGCTACATCATGATCTGCTTCGAGTTTTGATTGGCTCACTAGATTGTCTGCGTAGCGTGATTGGCCCGAGTGATTACTTTAGTTTTGGTGGTACCATGTTCAATAGGAACTACTCTATTAATGTACGGAATAACGTGTTCCCCGCTAACGGCTGTGTGGTAATACCACAAGAAAGACATTTATTTAGATATTGGTATGTTATTTGAATCGGGCACCTGAAGGATACATAACGGTTGAGGCGATATCGTTGACCCCCTCACAACGAGATTTTACTCAGTATAGTAGAGTGTACGTAGAGCACTAACGACTAAATGACATCGCGACGAACGTACAGAGTCTGCAGTTTACATTTGACTGATAAATACAGCACTTTTAGTGCATTTATCTTGAGTATTAACGACTAAATGACCTTGTGAGAAGCATACAGAGTCCACAGTTTACATTTGACTGATGAATACATCAATTTTAGTGCGTTTGTCTTGAGTATTAACGACTAAATGACATTTTGAGAAGCGTACAGAGTCCACAGTTTACATTTGACTGATAAATACAGCACTTTTAGTGCATTTATCTTGAGTATTAACGACTAAATGACATTATGAGAAGCGGACAGTCCACAGTTTACATTTGACTGATAAATACAGCACTTTTGGTGCATTTATCTTGAGTATTAACGACTAAATGACATTGTGAGAAGCGTACAGAGCCCACAGTTTACATTTGACTGATAAATACATCAATTTTAGTGCATTTATCTTGAGTATTAACGACTAACATAAAATGACATTGTCAGGAACTCACAGTCTTCGCAGTTTACATCTGACTGAAAAATACAGCACTGACAATATTGACATCAACTGAACTCGATAGTTATAAATCCTTCCATTAAGATTTACCCGAATTACCTGATTTGCACCGGTATCAAAAATCTCCTCATCAGACAAGCACCGGGAAATTAAACGTTGGGCATTTATTTCAGTTCACCTAAATAACTTGTGTTTGTTCGGTGTCTATTCCTACCTACTAAGCAGCAGTTTCTTTCGACTTCCTCTTAATATAAGACAATATTAACTTTCGATTTCCGGCAAACATCAAACAGTTCACACGCGAAAGTTTGAGGCTGATGTAACTAGTCTTAGAAAGGAAACTTGAGGGCGGCAGCTTTTTCAGTTCAAACTCAATGTAGAACGATAGTAAAAAGTAGAAATCATTTCTATGCGAAGACGTTATATTGAATTCAAAGGATAAAAAGTGACTTCCAGTATTTTGCTTTGTTCTGTGTCAAGTTTCATCTATCCAAGACGAAAACTCTAGAAGAGACTAAAAGATTGAAATGTTTTCACAAGAGGGAAAAAATCAATCAAATTCAATATCTGCACACCAAGCAAGACCAGTCTCGAGACCATTTCTATATTTGGACCAAGACGTAATTCATTGTCGAAATCCGATGCAGGATTGCAAAAGTGAAATTACCGAAATCCAAGTGTCATACTTAATATCTGCACACCAAACAAGATGCCACACAAGTGTGTTTTCCCAATCAAGCTCAACAAGATTTGGCGCAATGTATCTTAGCTTTATCTTCATGGTCGAAAACACGACGCAGTGGTTTTATAACGCAAATGGCAAACATTATTTCGCACTCAGTCGTAAAATTACGTTTGGAGGGTTGTCTAAAAGGAAACCTTACCTTTACTAAAAAGAATTCAAAAGTGCGTGACACATGTCGCTGAGCAGAGACTTAATTAAAATGCAAAGACAAACGACAGTGGCTGAAGTTTCGATTGTTCATGACCCTTCAGCTGAGACCACAAAAGTGACAGTGTACCAATTTGTGCACGTGGACTGTCAAAATTCATTGAATTTTTTGACATTTCAACTTTCTCTATTTTTAAATAACCTGATTTACTCTCATATTCACTATTTTATCATCATCTGGAGGTTGATAGCTGAAAGTAAACTAAGTCATTCACCGTTTGTCATGTTTGTCTGTCTGTCGACAAACTACCTTTGGAAACGTCAACTCTTTAATTAAATGCGCCTGCGATAGCAAAACACGTGGGTTTATTGGCCTGTGTATGCAGTACAATAGTTTATTAGTTAGCCTGTTGACTGGTTCCCCGAGGTAATCCCAAAGGTCTTGTGATGCTTCGAAAGTTGACTTTTGCTAGAATTTTCCACCCTAAGGGAAGTATTGTCAACTAAATTTCTGTATTCATGTCTCACAAGCGAACCATTCGTTTGTCAGCGAACTTACCCCAATCAAGCACAAGTTTGGCTGGCTACCTTAAAATAATACATGATATTATGCAATCTAAATGGAGACGATTTCAGCAAACGAAACTGCTTATTGTACTATTCTATATGGCATTTAAGGGTGGGGTGATCCTACCCTCTCCTTGAAGATTACAAAAGATTTTGCCAAAACAAACGACTTTATCTGCAAACATAGGTCAAATCAAAGAGGCACTGCTCTTGAATAGTCAACCGGATCGACGTGTCTATTACCGGTTAAATAATTTTTTTCAAACCACTCAGCAGTTATCGTAGAATCACGTCAAAGAAGGACTTGAAGGGATATTGGCAGAGGCCAAGCAGCCGTTACGTCACTAATCCGGCCTCTTGAGGTCGCTGACCACATCTCCAAAATACTGTTGTTTCCGTGCGATTCAGTCAAAGCTTCCGATGTAGATGGCATTTTCACGGAACAACAATATCAACAGTTCACAAGGTATTTTACTATAGACGCAGATTGTTCCCGAACAGGGGTTCCTTGAAATAAGGATTACTGGGTTAAAATCCTATTTTCAATAAACGTTCCTTTGGGCATTACGAAACATTTCTCGCGCAATCTCCTTCGTAGCCATCTGCGAAGAAGAACAGTCTCGAGCCCACTTCTATATTTGGACCAGGACGTAATTTACGGCGAAATCCGATGCAGGATTTCAAAGGTGAATTTACTGAAAATCCAAGTGTCATACTTAACTATATCTATTCAGTATCTGCGCACCAAGCAAGATGCCGCACAAGGGTGTTTTCCCCATCAAGCTCAACAACATTTGCCCCATTGTATCCTAGCTTTATCTTTATGGTATAAAACACGAACGCAGCGTTTCTATAAAGCAAATAGCAAACATTACATGTATTTCGCACTCACTCAGTCGTAAAATTATGTTTGGAGGGTTATCTAAAAGGAAACCTTACCTTTACTAAAAAGAATTCAAAAGTGCGTGACACATGTCGCTGAGCAGAGACTTAATTAAAATGCAAAGACAAATGACAGTGGCTGAACAGTTTCGAATGTTCATGACCCTTCAGCTGAGACCACAAAAGTGACAATGTACCAATTTGTGCACGTGGACTGTCAAAATCCATTGAATTTTTCGACATTTCAACTTTCCCTATTTTGAAATAACCTGATTTACTCTCATATTCACTATTTTATCATCATCTGGAGGTTGATAGCTGAAAGTAAATTAACTCATTCACCGTTTTTCATGTTTGTCTGTCTGTCTGTCGACGAACTATTTTTGGAAACGTCAGCTCTTTAATCAAATGCGCCTGCGATAGCAAAATACGTGGGTTTAATATTGGCCCGTGTATGCAGTACAATAGTTTATTAGCTAGCCTGTTGACTGGTTCCCCGAGGCAATCCCAGAGGTCTTGCTAAGCTCCGAAAGTTGACTTTTGCTAGAGTTTTCAACTCTAAGGGAAGTATTGTCAACTAAATTTCTGTATTCATGTCTCACAAGCAAACTATTCGTTTGTCAGCGAACTTACCCCAATCAAGCACAAGTTTGGCTGGCTGCCTTAAAATAATACATGATATTATGCAATCTAAATGGAGACGATTTCAGCAAACGATACTGCTTATTCTGCTTTTCTCAATGGCATGTAAGGGTGGGGTGATCCCCTCCTTGAAGATTACAAAAGATTTTGCTAAACAAACAACTTTATGTGCAGACGTAGGTCAAATTAAAGAGACGCTGTTGTTGATTGGTGAGCCGGACGTGTCGATTGCCGGTTGCCTAGAGGAAATCAAAACTCACCGCCTGACAGGACTCGAACGATGTCACCCCATGTGATTACGCTTCATAAGCCGTATAAGCTGTTCTAATCATGACTAACAAACTCGGTCATTTAAACAAACAACTAACGAATTTAGGATGGCTTGAAAACTCCGATATAACAAGGATACAGGCATGGAGTTTAGTCTAGGATATTGCTTCATCGAGTTGATCTAAAAATCCGAACCAACAGATGAATAAATAGTCCATTTGCCCCGAGGCATATAAATAAGCTATTTATTTTTTGATTACATCACAATTCAGTGCTTAAGTAGTTTGATTTGTGGCCCATTAAAATCGTTTTTTCCGCTTTGGCTGGTTAAATAAAGGTCCTTAAAGGCAGTTCTGTGCGGATACTAAGCTGAGGCAAGCAGTGAGGCGAGAGGCGTTTTTTCTGAATCGGCAGAAAGGTACGTTATTTTGCAAACTGAATTAATATCTTCTCAATCTTATATTGTTTTTGCCGATTCTTTTGTCGCAACCATTGCCGTTTTAAGTTCTAGGTTTTCAAGAGTTTATTTCATGACAGAGATTGAATCTATCGGTAGTCCGTTGAATTGAAAAATGCGATTTCTAAGTGTAGCTGTTTAGTGCATGTACCATCCGGTTCTTACAATATTGATTATATTTTAGCTGTATAAATTCACATCTTATCTTTAAGTCGTATCTTGACTTTCGGTCAGTTTTAAATGCTTAACTATGATGGTAAAACTGAAAGGGACTTCGAAATATGAACCAAGAAATCTACGGTTTTCAATAAATTTTACAAACCACTGTACTTTTACCAGTCCACTAACATGCGTGAAAAAAACTTTTACCGAAACTAGTTTTGAGTGACTGTTGACGTAATTTCTCTTAAAACAGCCTTTTTTGATCCTGGCAAAGGATAAGAAGTCGATAAGGGTGATCTTGTGCCCAACGAATCAACGACAGGATCGAGAAAATAAAATACTATCATTCAAACTTCACACGTTGCAAAGTTTTGTTGAGGAAATTGCCCAGTTATGATAATGTCAAGGTGAATTTAATTTAATGCCGATCTGTCAACATCAATCTTTCGTTATTAGATGTCAGATTTGAAACAAACAGGTCTTTCAAAATGATACCACACCTTTACTTTTCTAACGACATTCACGTGAACGAAACCACCTATGTAATATCGTTGATTGGTCAAGCGTCCCTATATTGACGTCATATGCACTAAATTAGTTCAATTTTAATTTCACTCGGTGTTGATGAAAGTATTGCTGATTTTCGCGTGAGTCTTTTTGCTGGAAATTTGACTGCCGCAGACTTCACAAAAAAGCTGAGCTTTTTCACTGGTCAAAAGCTGACGTTCAAATGGCTAAAACTGACGTTCAAACGAAATAGTTAACTGAAAAAGTTATTGTTCAAATTCGATAACATCCACAATGGGGTCATGGTGTGTTTAATAAGTTGCTGTCATGTAATAAGAAATGCTATTTCGCTGTGTTTGCTGTCCTGTTGCTATATATATTTAATACAACAGTAAATAATGATCAATTTGCGGCTTTTCTATTGTCATGACCGGCTATATTGCCGCAAGTATTGATGCAGCACTTAGCTCGTGTCTATTAAAGTCGGCGAAATCGTGTATACATTCTACGATTGCCACCTTTTTTTTGCATTAATACGTCAGAGAGCGTATGTTGAATAAAAAACATGTTTTGTTTTTATTTGTTCTTCTGTTGTTATAAACAAACACGAACAAATGTTGTTTACTTTTACAAGACCTCGATTATTGACCTTAAAAGGTGCTCAACGCTTTGAACAAGAAAATCTGTGTTCCATTTGCAAGAGGTATGTCCGGTTCAGTAAGAGATTTGTTTAAAGCAACGGAGGTTAAATAATAAGAATAGAAACTTGTATCTCAGCCATGAGCAACATAATGATAAATGAAGCTATGACGATTGTATGAAGATATTTATATCATTTCGTTATTGGGTTAAGGTAACAAAGGACAAAGTACAAGGTGATTTAATACATTAATAGTTGTTTGCCTTTGTTGCTCGGTTTCAGCCCTTCTGTGAGAGGAAACGAAGTAGCGAAATTCTTTGGCCAGAAGCCAGAAGTTCAAAACATTCATGGAGTTAAAACTGAAGGTAATGTTCCTGTAGACAAGTAATAGTCAAAAGGTCTTGACAGAAGTCATCTTTGCAATATAAATTTTGTATCAGCTAGTATTAGTGACGAAAAGAGAAGACAAGAGTCAGTTAACGAAAGAGGAAATTCATTGAAAGCCAGTCAGTGTGTCATTTTCTGGCTGTAGAGGACTGTTCACGTTGCATTGAATTTTGTAATTGCTATCTAACCCTTCCACGAATAGTAGCATGGCGCCATTTCGCTCGTAAAGACAAGGTTTATCGAGTTCTTTTGGTTAGCCATATTTAGCCTTAATGATGCACACAGATCATTTGCCACGATGTTGTATCATTCAAACTATTGTCAAGAAATGACGGAGCTACAATTAAACCCCATCTGGTCGATGTTAAGTTAGAGACAATCAAAATTCAAGGCATGGCAGAGGTATAGTTTTAAAATCTCATTAATCGTTTTTCTCAATTTTTAACCACAGAGCCTTTGTCTGCTCTGTGTCATCTTCCTTCTAATGGCGGTCTTGCCAAATGATGGACTGCGAGTGTCGAAGAAAAAGTTCAGATTCATAAAAATTCGTCCAACACGCCGACCTCCGATTACCAATTCCAGCATCCCCAAAGAGAAATGCAAAATAATTGTCAACAGCCCTCCAAAACGCTTTGTTGGTCGTTTCATCAAAGGACCGATATGCGTCCTCCTCAATGAAAGCCAGAAAACAGCCAGACTCCAGAAAGTTGGCGGTTACGTTCCACGATATGTGGCAGTCAACAAAAAAGAGGCGTTGCAGTTTGAAAGCCTGCTCGGAGATGTACAACCGCTACCGACCAGACCCCCAAGCTCATCGCCTTATAATAACCAATCAGATTTGTCGAGTATCTTTGGCCAGCAGGACGGAACTGCTGGAAACAGGAAACGACGCAGTTCGATCACCCTGCCATCGAGCCCCGGCACCACTGTCATTCAAGAGTGCTTTGATGGAGGTTCCCTTCTGGAAGATGACGGATTCAGGCGGCTGTGTACTGAATGCTTTGGAATCTCGCAACTTCCAGAAGGCGTTTTCCCTCCCTTTATCAATGAAGTGATTTGTGGTGACGACTCAGATTTCTGTGTGCCTGGCATAGGGGAATGCCAACAGAGGGTTATAAAGCTTAATGTTCTTAATTTTACAGGGGAATTTGAGCGCGATGACGACCTAAGTGAGGTGTTTGGGTTTGATGTGTTTGTAGAGGAGTTGGAAACCATCGAAGTAGAATTAAGAGCTTGCTGCGAATGTCGTTTGTTCGCGTTTTTAGGAAAGAAGTAAGGAGCAAGATTAACTTGCTATTGTACTACATCTTACATCTATTTGCATTGTTATTTTTAACGTATACGTAGGTGGCTAAATATAACTAAACTTAAACTTAACATAACTTGTGATAACATACGATTATTTTTGGATTTTCTGGTCAAATATTTAAGCACTATTTAAAATATAACGGTCTTGCCACAGCTACATCCATACGGTGGCTATTCATCTAACAATATCTAATTATTCATTTGCCACTGTTAATTACCTGAATACAGTCAGTTGATAACTAAAGTGAATTTCGCATAAATATAATAATTGTGTAACAACAAAATCACACATCAGAGCACAAGGAAGCCTCACAAAAATCCTGTTAATCATACCGTGTCATTTAGGAAGAACAGTTACTAGGCGTTAATTCCTTAGTTTGTTGTAGCTGCTGTTCAAGGAGAGTGAACTTGAATCAACAATCATTGTAGACAGACAAGTCAATAACTTTCGTAATTTCCTAGGAAGGAATGATAAACATGTAAATTCTCCATTCGATTTCAATTCGTTGTCAAGCAATCAGGAGATGAGAATAAACAAAATTGTTAAGGGAGACTGTCTCTGAAAGTATTGTATCCTCTCCGCCGCCCCCACATCCTAACGAAATAAACATGTTATTTTTAAGCGGTATATAATAACGCTTAAACACTCAAAAGGATGTAAATTAAACTCAGTGGGAGTCAGATATTGCATTTTATTAATTTCGCGAGATAACCTCCGAAAGACAAAAATATTTTCTTAACACGTTGCTAAGCAACAGGCCTGCTTTTCCCTGGCACACGTCGTTTATACACACCCGGGTTATACATTGTGATTATGGTGCGAGAGTGACTTTCACGAAAGCTCTTAGTTACTAAAAATTGAGAAGTCGTTCACAACAGGCCTCAACGATCTTTCTGAATACGTATTTGTCAAATCGGCGATCCGATGATATGAAAGGTTTCACGCAATTTCACATAATTGAATCTCCTTGCTCTCGACCAACCAGCCATTTTGAACTTAAGCGACCCACCAAAAGTGTCGCGCATTGAAGAGTTACAGCAATTCTCGGTTCTCGAGGTCGAATGTCTTGATATGAAATGGCTTTTGTACATGAAAGGTTCAAGATGAAGATGTTCTGATGTATCAACAAGAATATCTTCTTGTTGGTGATTTAATTATTTAATCTCATTACCTATCTTACTGAAGAATTGATTGCGTACGGAAGAAAACTGACATATTTTGTTGAACTGCCAATGCCCAATACAGTGTATTTCTCTTTGTTCAACTCCCTTTTTCTTATCTCATCCAGTATCGCTGATATAACTTTTTCAAATAGCATAATCACATACACTGTAGACAAAGTGATATTAAAAGCTTCAGAATATCTGAATATTTAGAGTTCCCTTGAAGCACGTGTGCTTAAGCTAAAGTACTTAGTTCTGTTTAGATGGAAGACAGAGTGAGGCAGCTAAACACGATTGCGCAGTTGCAATGGCAGGAGTTTATCTTAGCGTGTCAAGGTAAGTTAGATCATACCTTAAGGGGGGAATGTCCTGCGGTTCCCGTGACCCCCCTTTTTGTAAGCCTTTTCTAAGCAAACAACCTATAACAGGTTGCGAAAAGGGCATGACAATCCGGTGAGTACCCTTACTTTGACACAGTGTGACGCCCCTTTGAAAAATCCTGGCTACGCCCCTGAAGAAAACAGAGATCATTGCAGATTTGTGAACGATCTTGAAACGAGGGACGAGGGGATGGGTTAGTAACTATCCATATGGCCCAGACAAGGATTGGCGTCGAACCTTTTACAGGTTGAAAATCGTGTTTTTGTGCCACCTGGAGTCGTATTGTTGGACAAGCCAATGCATGAAAATTTTAACTTTATTGATGGCACAAAAAATATGTACAGCTATTTCGAAACTTGATGTTTTCTGGAATTTCTAGTCACGGGAAAACCTTGTTATGCCCTGAGTTCCAGTTAACAGGGGTGTGTTTCTGCGAAATTGTTTCCAACCTGACGAACTAGTTGTCAAAGTTACTAGGGCCAATCTTAGGAGATTGCAAGCGCGAAGCAAATTTAGTTATACCGAAAAGTTAAGGCGAGTTTTTAAGATTTTGAGTTGAATTTGGTCAGAATTTCTGTGGCACTAAGAAAAAGCAACCAGTTTTTTTAGAATTGGATTCTGGTTTTCAAGAGCTAGTTACGACTTTGGGAATACATATGTAATAGATGTACTTAATAGTATTAGAAAGGCACTTCAGTTAATTTGTGTACAATGTATTGATAACATTAGGCAGGTCACTGAATCAACAAATGAAAATCAGTAATTTAGATTAAATCGACACTATTAAGTATTTTTAAATTACTCTATATCACTGAAACACCAATACAAATTTAAGTGCGCTGTAAAAGCTTAGTACAGTTTCCTTTTGTATTGGAACTTCGATAATGTGTCATTGACTTAACCTGGAGGTGATCAATCTCTAAAAGATCACGAAGCCTCTATAGCTTGAATACATCTTTCCAAATCTGAAATATTTTAGCCTCTACTGTCAGACAATAAAGAGGGAATCCAGTAATTAGAACCATTGTGCGGGTTTTGTCAGAGAAATGCTTAGAACTGAAACGATTTTCTTCCATTTTGCTTACAATACAACTGTTAAGTGGTAGGATGACGTAATACCAAAGAAGTCTCCGTCAGTTGTGATTAAACATTCGGTTTCCTTGGGACTTAAAAGATTGCCACGCTAAATTACCTTTAATTTACCCACCCAAGTCAAGGAAGCGTAATTAACCACTAACGAACGATTAGGACTACGCTGACTATGTTGGATCCAAGGAAATTGAAAACTTGGGTAAGCACTCTTGTTGAGCTATTTGTATCAATGAAGTAACAGTTTAAAAATCGTAAGTAGTTAGGGTAATTTGGCCGTTATGCAGTGTGCAGAACTATGCGTCACAGCAGATGCAATCTTCCGTAGAACAAAACGATGGTAGTTGTACATTTTACCACAATACCATAGAAACCTTACATAGTCTAGTATAAAGTACAAGGAAAGCAACATTTTGTGTATGCTAGATTCGAAGAAGTGAAAGTTTCTGCACGTTTTCATGAGCGTTATTAAAGCGCGCTAAGAATAATGAGTAAATGTGGCAGTCGCCATCTTTTATTAGAATGACAAATAACGGAAAAATGTTAACAATCAGAACTGATAGTCATTCGAGTTTTAGCAAAATACAATCCAATTTTTATATGTAATGGTTGAATTTTATCGTTCGAATGGAAAATTTTGAAAAGTTGAAGGCCAAAGTCGAAGTACCTTAATGAGGAACCTTTAAGTTTCCCGACACTGATTGACTTATGTCATACTTCCATCTTTTTAAAATTAAACCAGTATTTGTCAGGGTTGACGTAATAGAAGACTGAAATATCGCAGATCACAGATCAGCTGCATGTTTTGTTATGTTACTTATTGTTTTTTTTTTCCTTAGTAATCATCGTGAAAAGTGACAACATATTTCACAAGTGCAAACTATTTTCTCAAAAAAAGAACATTTCAAAGATAGATTTTCCGTTTGTGTCAATAACGCCGGAATAACATTTCTACCAGAAAGTTATTGGTATAGCCGATGTTGAACTTCTCAGGTAGCTCTTGATATTCTCTAAGCTACAAAAACCTTGCATACTGATAAAGACTGGGGACTGTTTAGTTTAGTGCGTCAATAGTTGTTCACATTTTATTGGACCCCTTGTTCGAATCGTTTCATAACTGTATTTAGATATTGCAAAGCTGACTGGTTTACACAGAAAGCAGACACGCAAGGTTTAACTGTGAGACGGAGGACTGTAAAAATGATTCCATCATAAGCAAGGAATATAACTGGTATTATCAGAGTGGTTTTACAATTCTCATTTTTATTCAGGTATGAATCTTAAATTACCTCCTTTAGGAAGAGGCAGGTTCAAAGAGTTTTCTTGGCTAATATCTGTCGGTGTTTCACAACTGACGAGTACATTTTCCTGTCCTCAGCGAAGTCAGCGAGATTACAAATAATCTTGTGCTAAATTTTGCGGCTAGAACGTGAGAATGGAATTGATGCAGGTGAGAAAGTTCATTTTTTCAGATAATGAAGAGCAAATGATGTGGCCAACCGTGTACCCGTTCACACTACGCCGGAGGAATTTGAAAACGGAACTTTCACTCTGAAAACGCGTCAAATGTTTTCTGTCCACACTACGCCAGAGGAATTTGAAAACGGAACAATAATCAGTCATTTTGGAATTGCCTTTGAGGAAAACTTGGCCGGGGCAATCACATGATTATCGTAATGTCAGCATTTTCGAAAAGCTCAAAGTGTTTTGCGTCCACACCTTAACAAATTCCTCCTGTATGAAGAGTGTTTTCAGAAAGCTTCGTTTTCGTGACGGATTAGTGTGGACGGTAGGCCTAACTGTAGAAATCAAGCTGTCTTTTAAAATTCTTTTTAAAAGTCTGCAGTAAAATGCTAATTTTAAAATTCTATTTCACCACTGGGGTGCGGGGGAAGAATGAATTGTGATATCTTTGGTATAGGATTTGATTTTGCCGGTTTTAATTTAGTTTGTGTGCTTGTACCGACAAGAAATTTTCACTATTTATTCACTAATCCAGCCATTCAGTCATTCAGTCATTCAGTCATTCAGTCATTCAGTCA